TCTCCCTCTTTCATCCTCCCTTTCCCCATCTCTAAAAATAAATAAATACAATTTTTTAAAAAAATGCAAGGTTGCTTTAAATTCTGAAAATCAATTAATACAAAATGCCATATCCATAGAATAAAGGACAGAAAACCAAATGATCATCTCCATAGCGGCCCTGAACGAAATCCAACCCTGTAATGGTAAAAACATCCCACACATAGGACTAGAACGCAACGTCCTCAACCACTGAAGACCCACTGCCACCGCTCCCACTCAACACGGGAGCAGAGGCGCCGGCCAGCGCAACAGTGCAAGACAAAGAAATAAGAGGCGTAACAGCCGGCGGGGTCAGGGGGACAAAACTGTCTTTATTTGCAGATAATATGATTATGTACATAGAAAAATCCAAAATAATATACAAACACACAGTAAGAACTGATAAGTGAATTATGCAAAGTTACAGGATACATGATCAGTACACATAAACCAATTGTGTTTCTGTACATTAATAACAATTGAAAAATATAAAAATATTTTAAGTAACATCAAAAATATAAACTATCTACAAATATACCAAATGAAAAAAAGTGTACTATCATACTGAAAACTACAAAAGAATGCTGAGAGAAATTAAAGATTTAAATCAACGGAGAGAGGTACGGCACGCACAGATCGGAAGACCTGATATTAATTCAATTCTAAAACTGACCTATAGATTCAATGTAATCCCAGAAAAACTCCCAGGAAAATATTTTGTACGAGTTGAAAAATTTATTCTAAAACTCGCAGGAAATTTTACAGAGAAATAAAAGTGAAGTCTTGCCCTGGCCAGGTAGCTCAGTTGGCTTGAGAGTGGTCTGGATATGCCAAGTTGTGGGTTCAATCACTGGTCAGTACACATACAAGAAGCAACTAATGAATGCATAAGTAAGTGGAACAGCAAATCAATATCCCTCTCTCATAAATAAATAAATAAATAAATAAATAAATGTGAAGTGAAGGTCTTACATTACCTGATTTTAAGACTTACCATTAAGTTACAGTAATTCGGAGAGCGTGGTGTTGAAAATTAGACCAACAGAACATAAAAGAAAGCCCGGAAATAAGCTTACACACACACCTTCAAGTAATTTATAGCAATTTAATGGAGAAAAAGAGTCTTTTCAACAAATGATGCTACAATGATTACATAACACACACGGAGAAAAAATTACCCTGATTCCACCTCACCCAAAAAATAACACAAGACGGGTCATTCAGAACGTAGATCAGGGTTTGCTTGGAGGTGGAGGGGCAGGAAGGGAGAAACCCCGAAGGCTGCATGGGGAAACTTGAGGGGCGACGGATATGGACGTTACCTTTCAATAAAGACTTTATTCATTTATTTATAGAGAAAGGGGAAGGGAGGGAGAAAGAGAGGCAGGGAAACATCGGGCAGTTGCCTTCCACACACAGCCCAACCCGGGACTGGACCTGCAACCCAGGTAGGTGCCCTGACCAGGGATCAAATCAGCCACCCTTTGCTTTGCCAGGTGGTGCCCAATCTACTGAGCCGCACTGGCCAGGGCAAATACATACACTGTTCTGAATGTGATGATTTCACATATGTATACATGCATCAAAACTTACAAAATTTTACACTCTAAACATATAGTTCGTTGCACATTGTGTCTCCACAAAGCTCTTTTAAAAAAAGATGAATCATAAACCTAAAAGAAAAATATTGACAAACTTTTACTTCATCCAAACTAAAAGTTTCTGTTCATCAAAAGACACCATTAAGAAACAAATAGGCAAACCATAAACAGGAACAGACATTCACCCTTCATTTCCTCTCCTCCTATTCCCTCACTATATATGTATGTGCGCACACCCCCCCATAAAGGTCTCAACCAGAATATGTTTTTAAAACTCCTAAAAATAAATAATAAAAAGACAAACCACCCAATAAAAAGTGGGCGAAAGACCTGGCATTTCACAAGAGAGAGTAAGAATGGCCAATAAGCACGTGGAAAACTGCCTGCCATTGTCATTCATCAGAGAGATGCAAATCCAAACCACGGTGAGATACCACCACCACCCAAATGGCTAAAATGAACAACAATGACAATGCCGAGCGCTGACATGGATGTGGAGAAACCGGGACTCTCATACGTTACTGGTGGGAGTGTAAAACGGTGCCAATTTGGAAAACAGTTTGGCAGTTTCTAAAAATGTTAAACACCCATCTATGCTATGACCCAGCAATCCCACTGTTAAATATTTACCCCCCAAAAATAACACATGTCCACAAAAGACATGCATAAGAATCGCCAATGACTGTAGTCATCATGGCCAAAAAGGAAAAGCAACCCCAAATTCCATCAACAGGAAAAAAGATAAGCAAATGATGATATCTTCATACAAAGAAATACCACTCATAAAAAAAGCTCACGACAGATACAGGCATCAAAATCAAGAAATCACAAAAACATTACACTGAGCAAAAGAAGACAGACACAAAAGAGCACATGCTTTATGACTCCATTTATATCAAGTTCAAGAACCTGCAAAATTAATCTATAATGATAAAGATCAGAATTATGGTTGCTCTGGGATTTTGAGGGTTGGTGTAATAAATAAAAACAAACACAATGAAACCTTTAGAGGCGATAGAAACGTTCTCTATCTCTCCATAAGTGATGGACACAATGGTGCAAACATTTATTAAAATTCACCATGTTTATATGCTTAAAATTTGTACATTACAGTGGGTGTAAAATAGTCAATACTTTTTAAATGGCTGAATATTTTTGAGTTAATAAAGACTGTAAAATTGCACATTCTGCGCTGTGAAGAGAGCGGTTCACTGTACACGGATGCGACATGGTCCCCCAGAGGAAGCAGAGGGCCGAGGGACGGGGTGGAAAGGAGACCGGCTTCCCCACAGGAACATTCGGTCTCTTGAATTGTACTCTGCATTCAGATCGCCCGGTGCATGGCCCGCCCACTTACTGTGACCCCAGGTATGTTAGTTAAGGTGTTTGTGCCTCAGTGTTCTCACATGAATGTTAACAGGAATATTGAAAAGAACTACATCAGCCCCGGCGGGTGCGGCTCAGTGGCCTGAGTGACGGCCTGTGACCCGAAAGGTCGCCGGTTCGATTCCCAGGCGGACACAGGCCTGGGTTGCGGCCGGGCCCCCAGCAGGGGGCGCGCGAGAGGCAGCCACACAGGGATGTGTCTCTCCCTCTCTCTCTCCCTCCCTCCCCCCTCTAAAAATAAATAAAGTCTTTGGTTTTTTAAAAAAAAAAACCTACATTATTGTTTTCAGAATTAAATGATTGCTGGGTGAGATGTCAAAACATAGAATTTAACACTGGTTTTCACTCTGTGGATTAGAGTAAATTCCACCAAATCAGGTACCTACTTTATGCCAAAATGTCTCTCACAAGCCTACAAGGATAATAAAGGGTGAATCACTGGGCTTTTTTTTTTTAAATAAAGCTTTATTAGAATACACACACGTGCACACACAGAAGTACCTGGTACATAATCATCTATCGTTACTTAAACATTTAAAACAACATTTTTAAAGTTAGAGCTCAATTTCTTCCTCCGGGTTCCTGTGCGGGCTAAAGCCGCAGAAGGCGTCGAACACAGCCGCGCACAGCAAACGGCCAGTTCTGGTTTCCTGCGCGCGTGGGCGCGCCCAGCCATCCCCAGGGCTTCGGGCACCGTCCCGCCGGGTGACGCCCGCCGCCGGGCCCCCCGCGGGCTCCACGCCCTCCCGCCAGAGGCCTCCCGCTGCCGGCCAGCGCTAAGCCCTCCCGCCCCCGCCGGCCCGCACGCGGCCCCCCGCCGCCACGCCGCTTACTCCGTGAGCTCCCACCGGCCCGTCGCCCCGCGTCCACGCTTCCCCTCGGATCGGCGAGTCCCAGCAGCTCTGCCCCCACAGCCGCCCCACGCTGACCGCCGAGGTGGAAACCACGAGCCACGCCACTCCCAGCACCCCCCTCTCCTGTCCCACGCGTGCCCCACGTCCCCCGCCAAGAGGACGGCACCCCGCCCGGCCCGCGGGACTCAGGCGCACGGCCGCAGGGAACAGCACGGCGCCCGCAGGGAACAGCACGGCGGGCCGGCGGGCGGCGCCCTCACGCGGGCGCCGTCCACCGCCCCTTCCCGGCCTCACCTGCGTCCCGCAGGGGGCCCCCCGCCCCAGGGCCTTGGCAGGCGCTGTCCCCGCTCCTCTGCCAGCAGAGTCGGCTGCCCGGGGTTAGAGGAGCCGGGCGGGAAGGGGAGGCAGAGGGGAGGCCCACGGAGAAGCCTGCAGAGCCGGCCGTGGGGGCGACGGCCCGGCCCGGGCGGCCGAGGGCAGGGGCAGGGGCGCGGGCGCTGGGAGAGTGACCGGCCGGGGAAGGCCACGGGGACAGGACGGGGCCACGGGGACAGGACGGGGCAGGGCGCGCGGGGCCGGGCCCCCGGGGGCGCTCCGGAGCCCGGGGTGGGCAGCGCGGCGGCCGGACGCGGAGGGGCAGGAGGGGCGAGCGGGAGCCAGCGCAGGGGCAGGCGGGGGCACTCGGGGCCAGCCAGGCGCGGGCAGGCAGCGGCACCTGTGAAGGGCGAGGGGCTGGGGACACAGCGAGAGGCGACAGAACCGGGGAGGTGACGGGCGGCACTCGGGGCGCACGGGGACGGAGAGCGAGCGCCCGAGCGGGAGCGGAGCGAAGACAGCGCCCCCCCAGGCAGGGGTCGGGGCACTGACAGGCGGGGTCCTAACGGCGGTGACGGGGCGGGGGCCCCTGGCAGCGGGGCGCCCACCGGCTGGACGACGGGCAGGCGGACGCTGTGAGCTGGGGAGGCGGGGGACGCTGTCGGGGCGGACATAACGGGGTGGACACAGACGGCATGTCTCTGAAGGGCGGTCACTGACGGCACAGGGCGGTGGGCGCCGGCACCGAGGCACTGCCGGCGGGGGCACTCCCGGGGCACGGGCGGGCGCGGGCGCTGAGGAGCCTGCGGGCGGCCGCACTCACCTGCCCCGCGGGCCGGGCGTCGCGGCGGCTCCTCGGAGGCCCGGGTGGAGGCCAGGGCGCTGGCGGAGGCGAAGCCCGGGCGGCCTGGGGAGGGCCGCACGCACATGGGCCCGGTCCGGCGCGGCGCCTACGGACACGGCGCCCACGAACACTGCGCGGGCCGGCCGGCGCCTCGGGACCAGCTGGGGCCGCGAGCGGCGCTCAGGTCGCTCCAAAATGGCGGCCGCGGCGGCCGGGGGCGCGCACGCTGGGGGTGTGTTCTCGCGGGGGCGCGCTCGCTGGCGCCGGGGGCGGGGCGGGTCACGCGGGTGGACAGGGGCCGCGCCCTTCAGCGACGCGTCCCGGGGCGGAGGGAGCCCGAGGGTGCAGACTGTGGGGTGCGAGGGGGGTGGGGGACGGCTTCCCCCTTTTACTTTTCCCTCTGAGGTGCTGCTAAGTTCTATGCAAGCATAATTAACTTCTTACGGGACAGTACATTTGCGGTAATAAGTTTTCTAATGCAATGTCCGCAGCAGAAAAACCCCTCCCAGCGGTCACACACCTGAGGCAGGTGTCCCCTGTTCTCTACGGGTGCCCTCCGCGAGAGCGGTGCCTCTTTCACTGGGGCACCTGGAGGACCTCTGAGCCTCTTGGACACGTGGCCCGGACACGGCCAGAGCAAGAGTGGACGTGGTTACCCAGCCCCCACGGTTGGTTGTTTCCTAACTGGACTGGGATCGCCTGAGCAGCAGCCACCAGGCCTCCTGCTTTTTCCAGGTGCCCCCGCGAATTTCACGTCTTTTAATTAATTTTAATTTTTAATTATGTGACAGATACGTAATGGGAACACATTAAAATATGTGCCCGTTTAACATTTGTTGGGATTGTATAATTCAGTTAAACCAATCTCTCAAATGAAAATTATTCTTTCATGTGTCAGTGTGAATCGTGGTAAAATGTTGGAAAACGAAAATTGTACGATTAAGGAACATCTACCATTTAACAGCAGTTGCCAGCTCCTACTCCGCCTGCCGACGCGGACGGGGACTTGCCTTTGCTGACCTTGGCCACCAGGGGGCGGGAGGGGTTGCTGCGGGCCTCGCGCTGCGGGCCGCAGGCACCGGCTCGGGCGGCCTGGCTTCCGGGGCAGACCGGGGCGAAGCCGCCAGGGCAACGCGCGCCCGCGGTTGCCTGAGCCTGAGCCGTGATTGATAACTTTCTGGAGGCTCAGCGTAAACACGGCTGAGAGGGAAAAACTCCAGGGAGACCCAGCCGTGGGGTGCCGCACGGGATGGCAAGATTTTTCCTCCAGGAGCATGAGCAGGTTCCCACAGTAAAGATCAGAGACAAACACCATTGTGCTTCCAACAGAAGGAAGGGAAAAGGAGTCACTCAAAAGACACCAGAGCGCTCTGTTCTTTTTTTTACTTAAAAAAATTTTATTGATTTTAGAATGAGGAAGGGAGAGAAGGAAAGAGAGAGAAGACATTGATTTTTTTGTTCCACTTACTCGTGCATTCATTTGTTGATTCTTGTATGTGCCCTGACCAGGGGTCGAACCCTCAACCTTGGAGTTATGGCGGCAACACTCGAACAACTGAGCAGCCCGTCCAGGACGCGCAGAGCATTAGGCTCCTACCAAGGACAGCTCACTGGAGAAACTACCACACCACAGCACAACTCAGGGAAGGGAAATACCCAACTCCTGGCCCCGCCAGCCATCTGTCCCAGCAAGGGGGAGAAGAAAGCCAAGAAACTGCTGTGAAGGTCACAACGCACAGGCAGAGACTTCACTAAAGACTGAGCCTAATCATAGAACCACAGAACAGTCCCCTCCCCACACCTCACCACGTCACCAGGTACGATTTACAGCAGGTCCTTTCACCTGGTGCCCCATGTCCCACTATCAAGAAAAAGTGGCAGGGCACAAGGCAAAACACACAGATCAAAGAGAGAGAGCCAGCGTCAAAACCAGACATGGCAGGATGTTGGAATGATCACCTGGGAATTTAAAGCAACAATGGTTAACATGCTAAGAGCTCTAATGGATAGAGGAGACAGCATGCAGGAACGCATGAGGGATGCGAGCAGAGAGGGAAATCCTAAGAAAGGAGCAAGATGAAAAGCTGGAGGTAGAAAACACTGCAGCAGAAACGGAGAAGGCCTCCGATGGGCTCATCAGTGGACGGGAAATGGCTGAGGAAAGAACCTCTGAGCTACAGCTTCTATCAACAGAATCCCAGAAACAAAAGAAAAAGAACACATATTGCCAAAAAAAAAAAACAAAAACAACACCCCAGAATATCCAAGGATTATGGATGTTTACTAGTGTGACAGATACATAATGGGAACACCAGAAAGAGAAGATAGAAAGAAACAGAAGAAATATTTGAAATGATGCTACATTGTACTGAAGGTTCTAGCCCGTGCAATAAGGTTACAAAACAAAGTCACACAGATTAGAAAGGAAGAAGTAAATTTGTCTTTATTCACAAATGACATGATTATCTATTTAGAAAATTCTAAGAAATCCACCAAACCTACTAGAAACAATAAGCTACTTTAATAAGGTCACAGGATACAGTATTAATACACAAACAACAGTTACATTTCTGTGTACAAACCACAATCTGAAAATGAAATTAAGAAAAAAATTCTGGCCCTGGGTGGCGTGGCTCAGTGGATTGAGCGTCAGCCTGGGAACCAATTGAAGAGTCGCTGCTTCAATTCCCAGTCAGGGAACCCATGTACCGGGGTTGTGGGCCAGGTCCCCAGGGCAGGGGCATGTGAGAGGCAACCACACGTTGAGGTTTCTCTACCTCTCTTTCTCCCCCACCTCCCCTCTCTAAAAAATAAAATCTAAAAAATAAAAAAATAAAGAAAAAATTTCTGTACACAATTGCATCAAAATGAATAAAAGACCTAGGAATAAATACCACAAAGGAGTGTGCACAGAAAAGGGTTGGTGCAGCAGACTTATGGCCTACCCTGAAAAACCCGCCAGCAAGGTTAGCCCTTGCCTAACATCTGGGAGGCTGACTTCAGGATGGTTGCCACTAGTCCGAGAAGTAGTGGCTCATTACGTCCACAGTGTTTGTACAATCAGTATAATTTAGGCTCCATATCTGCTTTCTTTCTGGGTGTCTGGAAATTTGGCAGGCACCAGACTGCCTATATGACCAGCACTGTAGTAGGTTGAATGGTGGTGAAATCTACTCAAAACCTGAGTACATGAACTACCTAATATCTAACTTTACTGCAAGGCCATAGTAATCAAAACAGCATGGTACTGGCATAAAAACAGAGACAGAGATCAGTCGAACAGAATGGAGAGCCCAGAAATGAACCCATGTCTCCATGGTCAATTAACATTAGACAGAGGAAGCAAGCACATACAAAGGGCTAAAGATAATTCATTCAATAAATGGTAATGGGAAAATTGGATACATGCAGAAAAATGAAATTAGACTACCTTACACCACATGCACGAATAAATTCAAAATGAGTTAAAGACTTAAATGTTGGACCAGAAACCATAAAAATACTAGAAGAAAACTTAGGCTGCAAAATCTTGGACCTAACTTGTAGCAATAGTTTATCAGCCATATCTCCCCAGGCAAGAGAAACAAAGAAAAAAAACAAAGGGGACTACATCAACCTAAAAACTTTGCACAGCAAAGGAAAACAACAAAATAAAGACAACCCACAGAGGGGGAGAACGTATTCACCAATACATCTGATAAGGAGTTAATATCCAAAATTTACAAAGAACTTACAAAACTCCACACACACGCACACACACAAAAATGGGCAAAGGCCCTGAATAGGCAGTTGTCCAAGGAGGACACACAGATGGCCCATAGACAGGTAGAAAGAGGCTCAATGTCACTAATCATCAGAGAATGCAAATTAAAACCACAATGAGGTGTCATCTCATACCGGTCAGAATGGCTGCCATCAACAAACAGCGAACAAGCGCTGGGAGGATGTGGAGAAAGGGGAACCTCGTGCACTGCGCCGGGGGGGCGGGGGGGGGGGCGGTGCAGACTCGTGCAGCCCCTGGAGAGCAGGGTGGCGTTACCTCAAAAAATTAAAAATGGATCTGCCTTTTGACCCAGCGACCCCACCTCTGGGGCTATATCCGAAGGAACCCAAAACAGTATTTCAAGGGAACATAAGCACCTCCTGTCGTTGCGGCGTTATTACAATTACCGAGACACGGGAGCAGCCAGAGTGTCGGTCAGTGGATGAGCGGATACAACGGCGATGGGACATTCACCCAACGGAATACTGCTCGGCTGTAAAAAAGACAATTTTACCTTTTGCAACGGCAGGGGTGGGCCTGGAGAACACCATGCTGAGTGAAATAAGCCGGTCTGAGAACGACACACACCACATCGCTTCACTCACGTGGGACCTAATGAACGAACTGGACTAACAAAACGGACGGACTCGTGGACGGAGAGCAGGCTGACAGCCGAGGGAGGGGGAGGGCGGGGGTGCAGAACTGGGGCAAAAAGGAGACAGGAATCACGGACGTGGGCAACACGGCGGCGACTGGGGGCGCGGGGGGCGTAAGGGGACTAAATGGTAATGGAAAAAATTACAGTAAAAAACAATTTTTGGAAGAAAGGGTCTTTGCAGACGTATTGAAGACCTTGAGCTAGAACACCTTGGGTCAGGTCCAGTGACAAGTGTCCTGAGAAAAGGAGGGAAGACGTGGAGGAGGGGACGTGGAGACAGACGCAGAGGCTGGAGTGACACAGGGACCGGGCACGGCTGCCAAGGGCGGTCCGCGCAGCCACAGGCCAGCAGAGAGGTCCGGAGCGGAGCCCCCTTCGGCGCCTCCGGGAGGGGCCAGCCGGCTGGCACCGGGACTTTGGACTTCTGCCTCCGGGACTGCGAGAATAGATGTCTGCTGTTTTAAGTCACCTCGTTGGTATCAATCTGTGACAACAGTTTTAGGAAAGAAACATGAGCTCCCAGGTGGCAACGCGTTTCACACACTTGTCCCAACTCACCAGGACTCCACTGAGTGAGGACCTGGAAAGGGGCGCCTGGTCTCCCCCAAACTCCGCCCCTGGAGGCTTTCCCTTCACTGATTTTACTTTATAGTCTTTCATTGCAATAAAGCACAGCCATGAGAACGCCTATTTGCCTAGTCCCTCTGAGTCCTCCCTGCGAACCTGGGGCTGGTCATGCAGTTCCCATGCAATGAAAGCGACAAAACACCGCTGAGAAGAAC